GATTCCAAAGCCTTTATTCTAAAACCAACCATGTAAAATGATTTTTGATCATTTTCTTACATATTTGTAGTATGTTAAGTACTTTACTGAGTTACTCTTCTGTAAAAGTGGGTTTTATTTTCAGTATTTACTTCAGAAGTTGAAATAGACTGATAGGATAATCCATGTTTGGGTGCTAGTGCAAATGTGATAACGTTTTATGCTGTCCACTAGTACTTCACTGGTATCTGTGCTTAATGAATTATTGCTCTATTTTGATACTAAAAAGTTTTGACTTCATTGGTAGCAAATTGAGAAATGCATTGTAAGGGAAATAATCCTTTAAGTATTTTTATTCCTTACTATTTAAAGAGCTGCTCCCAGTACTGCCACCAGAAGTCAGGATTTTACGTGCCTTTATATACAATTTGCCAAAAACACCAATATCTCAGAATTGGCTCTATGGGATGCTACACGTGATTTTACCTTTAGCTAACAATGTCTGAGGTGGAAGACTTACGGAAAATGTGTGAATCCATGACTTTTTTTTGTAAAGAAAGAAGTATATTTGGAGGAAGAACAGTATTTTAAAATGTTCTTCCTAGAGTAATTCTGTTATCCTTTATTGTGTTATAGTTTACATACAATAAAGTGTGTAAACCTTAGTATAGCCAGTGAATTTTTATATTGTACACCTTTGTAACCACTGCTACTTAGATCAAGAAATTAGAACATTTCCACTGTTCCAGATGGCCCCCCTCATCCTCCCTCCCTGTCGTTGTTATCTACAGCTCTCAAGGGTCACAACTTTTCTGATTTGTATCATTGTAGAAATTTTGCTTGCTTTTGAAGTTCACATAAATGTATTTGTAAAGTGTATACTCGTGTGTCTGGCTTTTTTTTTTTTTAATACTCAAGTCTAAGATTTATCCATGTTTTTGTGTGTATTAATAGTTTGTTTTTATTGCTGAGTGGTATTTCATAAATGAAATTTATTTACTCATTGTTCTATTAATAGATATGTGGATTGTTTCTAGTTCTTTTCTGTTATGAATAAAGCTTCTCTTCACCTTGTCTAAGTCTTGGTGACATAAGTACTTAATTTTATTGGGTTTATACTAGGTGTAGAACTACTGGGTCATAGGGAAAATAAGTACCTATGTAATTTTAGTAGGTACTGCCAAATGTCCTTTTTGAGGTGGTTTTATCATTATGCACTTTTACCAGCAATGTAAAAAGAGAGTTATGGTTGTTGTATATCTTGTAAACTATATAGTCAGTCTTTTTGATTTTAGCCATTTTGACAAATGTGTATTTTGTTTATATCCAGTCATCATTATACTCTATATAGGTTTGTTTGCTCTTACAACTATTTGCCAGATGTGGTGTAGAAGTTTAGCTTATTTATTATTTTAACTAAATTTGGTTTTGAATATTTCACTTACTACAAATGAAGCATTATATATTACTATTATGTAATAAGCCGCTGAAATTTTAAATTTTGTGTTATTATGTATTTGATCAGGGTTTTAAAAGAATCAATAAAGAAAGTAAAATTTGTGGGCCTTTACCTCCCCCTGAATGTAAGCTAAGGGGATTTGATATACAGATTATGTGGACTACTTTCTTCCTGCTAGCACCTTGGAATTCTTTTTCCCCTGAATTTTTGGTTTCTGGATTGAGACTAATTTTTTGTTCTTCCATTTGCAGGTTTAAATAGGTATAATTTCAACTATAATTGACAATAATTTCATTTTTTTAAGGAAAAACTTATTATGGGCTTAAAGTTGTTCATATAATGTTCCTTTGTTATCTTTTCAATGTCTATGGAATTAGTAGTGATGACTCTTTGATTTCTTATATTAGTCATTGGTATTTTTTCTCTCTCTCATTTTTTGGTTAGTCTGGCTAGAGTTTTATCAATTTTATTGATCTTTTCAAAGAACCAGCTTTTGGTTTTGTTGATTTTTCTCTATTGTTTTCCTGTTTTCAATTTTAACTGATTTTTTGCTAGTTCTTTTCTTCTGCTTACTTGCTTTAGGTTTATCTGGCTGTACTTTTTCTCATTTCCTACGGTGGTAGCTTAGGGGTTATTCATTCTGTGTCATCTTTTCCAATATATGCATTAAATGCTATACATTTCCCTCTAAGCACTGTTTTCTCTGCATCTGACAAATTTTTTAAGTTGTATTTTCATTTAAAGTAAGTTTTAGTTTCTCTTGAGATATCTTTGACCCATGTGTTAGAAGTATTTTATTTAATCTCCAAATGTTTATGTATTTTCCAGCTATCTTTCCATTACTGATTTCAAGTCTGTTTTGGTCTAAGAGTTTACTTTGTATGATTTCTAGTCTTACAAATCTGTTAAGGTGTGTTTTATAGTCCAGAATACGGTCTTTTGGTGAATGTTCTATGTTAGCTTGAGAGGACTGTATATTCTGCTGTTGGATGAAGTATTCTGTAAATGACAATTAAATTCAGGTGATTGATGCTCCTGTTCAGTTTATCTATATCTTTACTGATTTTGTGCCTGCTGGATCTGTTTAAATACTGATAGAAGGATGTTGAAGCCCCCAATTATATTAGTGGATTTGTCAGTTTATCCTGTAATTCTATCAGTTTGCCCCTTACGTATTTGGACAGTTTTTAGGTGCAGAGAAATCAGGGATGGTTATGTCTTTATTGAGAATGGGCCCCTTTATCATGATGTAATGTCCTTTATTCCTGATCATTTCTTTTGGTATAATATGAATTTGATTCTTACCACTTAGAGTGGGTAAGGGATCTTTATTATTGATTGGCAGGGACTTGTGTTTATTCACTAATTGAGTATGCTTATATTTTAGGTGATTTCAGATTTCCTTTTGCAGTTGAGATTTATTCTGTAAGATTTATTCTCTTTATTATTTTATTTTTTTATTTTTAATTTCAGTGATGGAATAGGATTACTTTTGGAATTCTGAATTTTGAGGCTCTTTTGTCTTCCTGGTCGTAAATGGTGCCAGTTTTTAGTGATTTTTATTTCTTAGGTTTGCTTTTAGTAACTTATGACGGCCACTAGGGAAGAGACATTGTGCTGTTACCTTGTCAGCGAGGCTGCCTCTCGAATACACTCAAATGTTCTTTAAGGGCAGGGATGTTCTTGTTCACTGCTTTATCCCTAGCACCTATAACACTTGCTGGCATATACGGTCTGAGTAATAAATATTTATTGAATGTATGACTTTATCTTATGAAAACTGTTTAGTGCATTAAAGATATGAAAGACTTAAGTTTTACAAAATCAGATAATCTAAGTTGTGTTTTTTTTTCATAATCCTTTTATTGACTAAATAATTTAGTATTATTTAAGCATATCAATTACAGGATAAACTAAGAAGAGATGACATGTAGTCAATAGATTTTTATGAAATACCAATTCTTTTTAAAGTTTCTGACGAAGAGAAGGTAAGTTAAAAAGCATGTTAGCCTGTGATTTCTGTCATCTGTGCTTTTTAAAGTTTAAAAAATTGATACTTTACTGTCATGCCCATGTAATTATATTCATTGTTTCTAGGGTTATCTCTTAACGCATAATCAAAAGAGAACACAGTGAAGCTTATAATTAAACTTATTTACATATTCATTCATTAAACAAATATTTTGAGTGCCTATTGCAAGCCAGGCACGATTCTGTGTTCTGGGAATACTTACGAGAATAAAATACCCATTTATGAATAAATGAAATACTTATGTGGAAAAAATTTTAGTATAACCAAAAGTAAAGAGAATAGTATAAGGAATCCCTATGTACCTATCAACATTTTGTTGTTCTTATTTTATCTATTTTCTTCCTTGGTTTTTTTGGGGGAAGAGGGAGGCTGAAATATTTTAAAGCAAATTTCGGAATATGTTTTCACCATAAATAGCTGAATTTCTTAACAGATAAGGACTCTGTTACCATTATTTTAACACAAGTACAGTGTCATTCCATTTGCCATCTAGTTGATTCCAACTCATGGTGACCCTATTATGTCAGAGTAGAACTGTGCTCCAGATTTTCATTGGCTGATTTTTCAGGAGTAGATCACAGGGCCTTTCTTCTGAGGCCCATAGGTTGGAGGGTTGAGTCCACCCAGAGGCCATTATAATACATTGTACGTTAACATCATCCTTACACAGTTTTAACACAATCTTAATATAATACCCAATCTGGGTTCAGATTTCCTTGTTTTTGTAAAAGTCGTATTTTATACTTGTGTTGTTTGAATCAGGTTCCATATAAATCTTGTGGTTATTTTTAAAGTTGATACTTTTAAAAGAGAAAATTAAGGCAGTATTAAAACATTTTAGTATAAGCTATTCTAAGAGAGCAATGCTATTTTGACAGCCAGTCTGTTTGGAATTTAGTTTGGCTTATCTGTACAAGGAGATGTCAAAATATCTGGTATCTACATTTTATGATTTTAAAATATTACAAGAAATACTTTTCTTCATAAAGGAGAAAAAATGTGCAGGACCTTACTTATCTAGAAGCCTTGTTGTTGTTATTAGGTACCATGGAGTTGGTTCCAACTCATAGCCACTCATGTACAACAAAACACTGCCCGGTCCCACACCATCCTGATAATCATTCCTATGTTTGAGCCCATTGTTGCAGCCACTGTGTCGGTACATATCATTGAGGGCCTTCCCCTTTTTCGTTGACCCTCCACGTTACCAAGCGTGATACCCTTTTCCAGGGACTGGTCCCTCCTGAAAACATGGCCAAAGTACGAGACAAAGTCTCCTCATCCTGTCTTCAGAGATTCAACTAGAAGAGTGAAAATGTGAATAGATTCAAAAGGTTCAGGTTTGGAGGAGACGGTAGCTCTGTAAAAGCAAAGAACCTCAGATGGAATTTGGGATTGCTTTTGTAACTACTCTGTGTAAAGTTACACAGTGTATTTTATCTGTCTATACTTAACTCCTCATCTGTAAAGAAGGGCTGATTTCTTAAGTTTCTTTATGTCTTATTTTATGTTTATGCTTGATGTTAACAGGATTCCCGAAGTTGGATTGGTGGACACAATGAACCATTGACTGGCTTTACATGGCGAGGTGGTTGTGAGAGAGAAACAACTGGCATACAGGTCTGGAGTGAAGTATTTGTAATAGACAGACCTGATGGAACAAAGGTAAAAATCAATTATTTTTTAGTCCTTTATTCCTTTTTCACCTATTTTCTGCTTTTAAAAATCAAAATAACACTGAATTATTAATAGCCGATAACTTTAATGTATTTTTGGTTATTATATAGGAATATGTAAGATAATTTAACTTAGAGTCCTTAATTATGGAATTTGACATTGATCATTTTATATTTGATTTTTACTGTCATCTTTGGTGAATATTTTGCTTAGTTTTTCAAACTTCTTCATTTCTAGGTGGCTGTACTGCTAATGGATACCCAGGGTGCCTTTGATAGCCAGTCAACTATCAAAGACTGTGCAACAGTGTTTGCTCTGAGCACTATGACTAGCTCTGTCCAGGTGAGACACAAGATTACATGGTATGTTCAATTCAGATAATCCCAATATCTTTGCCTTTCCTCAGATGCCTTTTTTTCCCTGTTCTATTTGCACCTAATGTGCTGTTTCTTTCTGTTTCTAGCAGTTCTGCTTGGTTCATATTTAAATCTTCTCATCTTGTTCCTGTTAGCTGTTTTATTTCTTTTTTAATTGTGATTTGGGTGAAAGTTTACAGAGCAAATTCATATTCCATGCAAAACACATTTTGTTTCATGACATTGATTGAAATCCCCATAGTGTAGCAGTTCTCTACCCACTTCTCTGTAGTTATCTTTTCCCTATGCCCTTCTTTCCTATGCATTCCTGCTGTCTCCCTATGTAAATACTGCCCTTCTGATCTCTCATGGTTGATTATTCTAAGGCATGTACTTACCTGATGTAAATGTTCACTTTATATGCTTGTCTATTGTTTGGCAGAGAGCCACAGGAGTGAGTTAGATTCCAGGCCTTAAGGATGACTAGGGCCATAGTCTTAGGGGTTTTACCAGCTTCTGTCAGATCATTAAGCCTGGTATTTTTTTATGATTTTGAGTTTTGTTCCACATTTTTTATCCAGGATTTCCTATTTCAATCCCTTTCTGAGTGGTTGACTGTTATAGCTGGGCACCATCTGTTCTTCTGGTCACAGGGTCATGTAGGATGAGGTTCTTATGGTCCACTAATCCCTTGGACTAATTGTTTCCACGTGTCTCTGGTTTTCTTCGTTCTTCTTTGCTCCAGAGGAGGAGAGACCAATCGTTGCATCTTAGATGGCCACTTGCAAGCTTTTAAGATCCCAGTTGCTACTTACCACAGTAGGATGTGGAATAATACTTTTGTGTCGTACATTATGCCAGTTCAGCTTGCTGTCTCCCATGACCATAGTCCTCAAGTGCCTTTTGATAGAAGGACAAAAAGGAGTACAATTAAAGAGAGTTATTTACATTTCCTATTTGTTATTTATATTTCTTGGCTTGTTGCTTGGGTTCACAATGTGAAATTTTATACTTTGAGTTACCAAGGAAGTAAGCAAACCAATAAGCATGCTCTTTGGTCTTTCATCATAGACTTTTTTTTTAAAGCAAAAAATTTTATTGCATATTATCCTTAATTGGATCTGTTATATGATTGCTAGATTCAGTAAGGTATGAAGTACATTTGTACTTCCTGATTAAACCAAAATACACTCCAAAAAATCTAAGTAAGCCTAGTTTTCTACTTGATGTCTGTGACTTCTGGGACTCAATTATCTGAACTAATGGAGGTAGAGACAGAAGAACTAATTCCTATTTAACTTGGTAAATCTAAGTGATGCTTTTTATAATAAACTAAGGACTTATAGCACACTTAATTGATTTATTTTTTTCACTTATTCTGTACCTTAATTGCATTTAGTGTTTATCACATTGTAGTCTTAAAGCTCAACAATTTCTATTTCTGTAGAATTTAGACTATTTGACTAAATAAAATCACCATGTCATATCTTGTTTCTAGAAATAGAGCCAATTAAAACACACACAAGGGATAAGGATATGGGGAGATTGATTGATTTTAAGGACTTGGCTCACGTAGTTGTTGGGGCTGGCAAGTCTAAAATTTGTAGGTCTGGAGGCTAGAAATTTTGGTAGTCTTGTATAATCTTAAGACAGCATCATTCTCTTTGGAAACTTTAGCTTCAACTAGATTGCATGGGGTCCACCCACTTTGTGGAGGTTAATCTGCTTTACTTAAGGTCAACTGATTTAAATGTTAATCACCTATAAATACCTTCATAGCAACATCAACACTAGTGTTTGACCAAACATTTGGGCACTATAGCCTAGCCAAGTTGACACACAAGATTAACCATCACAGTGTATCTAGAAGTACAATTGGAAATACTAAAAAAAGAGGTTTATGTAAAGTATCCTTCCAAGATAAGAAATTTTCTCTGTTGACTAAAGACTGTGGTTGATAGTATCAGAGTGTATTGGAATTTTATAACACTTTTTTTTTGTTGTTTTAAAAAATATCGGGAACATATTTCTAATCTATAAACTTTCATTTCCCTCCTTCCTCAATTTGAAGTATCTAGCTGTCAGTATAGGAACTCTGGTAGCATAGTGCCTAAGGCATTTGACTGCTAACCAGAAGGCTGGCAGTTCAAACCCACCAGCCACTCCTCGGAAGGAAGATGGGGCAATCTACTTCCATAGTGATACTGCCTTGGCAACCCAAGGAGGGGTTGCTATGAGTCGGAGCCGACTCAACGGCACACAACAACAGCAACAACAGCTGTCAGTATAGAAAGAAGGTTGGAGTATTAATGTGAGCTAAAAGAATCTTTTCATTTTGGCTTCTGTTCATTACAGGCTTAGGGAGGCAACTAGTTGCTCACTCTTTTTCTTTTAAGCCCAGAACTCTAGTCACCACCTGCTAAATTATGCCATTGGAGACCCTCAGGTCTTTTTGTTTTTGTTCTGTCTTTCTCCGATCTTCTAAGAGGGTACAGCTTTTATTCTCTTGAAGCATGCAGAAACCACATGTGTGTTATCACATCATGGCCCTTCAAGTTAGCTGGCTGGAGGGTTGTTGGGTTTGCCTTAAATTATGAGAGTCCTAAAACTCATCCCTTGATGTTATCTTGTGTATCTGTTCAACTTTTTGATAATAGAAAGAGGCCTAGCTTTGGACAACCACTTAAAGTAACTCAACCACTTACTTATCTATAAAATGAGGATGTTACTAACTTGTCTTTCCCACATGTGGTTGCTCTGTGCAATCAGAAGTGAGATTTAAATGAGATAATATATAAGGAATGGCTTTGTAAATCAAGAAGATAAGAGTTTACTTTCTTCCTGACCTTTGAACGAGCTCTAGTGGCATAGTGACTAAGGCATTTGACTGCTAACCAGAAGGCTGGTGGTTCAAACCCACCAGCCACTCCTTGGAAGGAAGGTTGGACAATCTACTTCTGTGGTGAAACCGCCTCGGAAACCCAAGAAGGGGTTGCTGTGAGTCAGATCCGACTTAATGGCAGTGTGTTGCGTCATTGTTGACCTTTGAGAGTAGTTTTCTTTCCTTATATCTAGCTGATAGGTTAATAACATATTGATCCTCTTGCCATTTATTCTCTCAACATATATTTATTAAACACCTATTATGTATAAAGCTTTTTATGCTAAGTACTAATGATCTGAAATGAACAAATCCTCTTCTCTCTGCTGTTTTATAACCTGGCTGTAACAGTGAAAGGTCTGGACTTCTCTTTTTTTTTTACTCTAGTCTAGCCTAGATTATCACTTATTTGCTGTTAGAACTAATTGAAATAACCCTGTTTACTTAGGCATAGGTTATTTCTTAGCAGAGGTAACATGTGTAGATGTCCAAACTTTTTTCCTGTGGCTGTCCTAGCTTACCTTCTAAATATCTGACTCAGAAGGACTGGACCTGTATATCTTTCCCCAGTTTTCCTTTCTTGCCTATATTTGGACAGCTCTGGTCTATGTAACTTTGAAAGTCTCCTAGTCTCCTAAAATATGGCAAGAGTGCCACCTACTGTTGATCTTTCATCTATTACAGGCTGATTTATAATTTTCTGGTAAGTATTTTAGACTGATAAGTAAAATAGGAGCTCTGGTAGCATAGTGCCTAAGGCACTTGACTGCTAACCAGAAGGCTGGCACTTCAATCCCACCAGCTACTCCTTGGTAGGAAGGTTGGGCAATCTAAATCTACTTCCATAGTGATAACCACCTCGGAAACCCAAGGGGAGGGGTTGTTATGAGTTGGGTCCAACTCGATGGCATATAACAACAACAACACTTAAGTAACAAGAGAACAACATAAAGTTGATGGTATTAGAGGCACTCACTGAATAGTAACTTTTTTACTCTGATTGTGTAACAGAGGAATTTGTCTTTGTACCTCTGAATGTATCTCTGTACCTATTGCCCTTCATATTCACTGACTTAGAATAATGATTGTAGAAACAAACCACTTTTTTTTTTTTTTAATGTTCATAACATTAAAGAAACTTTGATATAACTATGAGACCAGAAGAACTAGATGGTGCCCGGCTACCACTGCTATCCACTTGGAAGGGATGTACGAGATCCTGCATAGAGAGGGAGAACAATGTGGAACAAAACTCAAAATCAATTGGAGGCAAAAAAAAAAAAAGAAGGTGGGGACCAGGTTTGCTGGTCCAATAGAGCCTGGTGAAACCACTGAGACTATGGCCCCTAGCTGCCCTTCAGGTCTGGGATTGAACCCACACCTGTGGTTTCCAGCCAAACAAAGAACAGGCAAGTGAGTTAAACATTTACCTCAAGTAGACACACACCCTGGAGAGAACAATCATGGGAGAAGGAAGGGCTGCTTATGCACAGGGAGACAGCTCAGGGCGCAGAAGAGTATGGAGGGATGGACACTGGGAAGAGGTAACTATGGGGAGGAAGTGGGAGGGGAGCTGTTGCATTGTAAATTTTGGTCAATGACATGAGACAAAGTATATGTGAACTGCTGTATGAAAAGTGAATTTACTCTGTAAATCTTCACCCAAATCAAAATAAAATTAAAAAAAAAAAGAAACTTTGGAAAAAAAACTTAGTGGAACATATACTTAATTTTTATGTCTGCCATTTTCTAGGGCTCATATGCACATATTCATGATTTTTACATAGTTTACCACCCCCTCTTCTCCCTTAATGTTTTGTCATGAATGTTACGATAAAAAGAAAATCCCGTTCATGTGTCACTGAGTAAAATAATGGCTAAATTTATGCTGAGATATAAAATAGCCCTCATTTGTGCAAGTGAAATTATACATAAGCTGGATATTAAAAATAAAACAGTAATAAAAGCAAAATTAATGTTGTTTTAACAGGTATATAATTTGTCTCAGAATATTCAAGAAGATGATCTTCAACACTTGCAAGTACGTACGTCTCAAATAATACATGACAAAGTATTGAAAATTTAGTTCCCACTTTATTGTGAATATACACCTAGGAGCCTGTAGTAGTATAAACAAGATGAAATGTTATATGGTTTTAAGATGATTCAAGACTTTTTAATTTAAATAAATTTTTATATATACTCAGTGCTAGAAAATCAAAGGCTTGGGTTTCAACTGGTTTTAAAAGCTCTGATATCTGGTGGAATACATAACTTTTATGAAATACTTTGCTGGTTAGGGCATCTGTCTGTTTATATGGATGTCTTTTTTCAGTCTCTGTGGGGCACTATTTTAAATAACATGATTTAATAGTTATTTACAGAGTATGGCAGGCTTGCAATGGAAGAAATCTATCAGAAACCGTTTCAGGTAAATAAGTATTTTATCTTTTTTTTTTTTTTTTTTTTTTGCTTACTTGTGAGAAGTTGTCAAGCCACCTCAGCTGGTAACTTTAGAGAAACTAAGATATTATAGCAACACCACTTCTAGTGACAAATTTAGTGGTGTTGAAACTAATCTATGATAATGTCATCACCAACTTACCATTTGTATGATACCAGGCTAGGAAATGAAGCAGATGAATCTAGATTGATTCTTAATAGTTTTACTTGGATTAATAGGGTATTGTTTTCCCTTAATTCCAAAACAAAACAAACTCACTGCCGTTTAGTTGGATCCAACTCATACTGACCCCTCCTTGGGTTTCCAAGGTAGTCACTACAGAAGTAGATTGCCCAACCTTTCTTCCAAGGAGAGGGTGGTGGGTTTGAACCGCCAGCCTTCTGCTTAGCAGTAAAATGCCTTAGGCGCTGTGCCACCAGAGCTCCCTTTCCTTAATTAGATGTCATTTAATCCTAGAACTGAAGACTGGGGAATTTAAGACAGTCACATCATTTCTTTTATGCATGCTTAACTACTACAAAATAGTATAGGTTTCTTTTTTTGTGGTGTAAGTTGAGGTACCAAAAAAAACCCAACAAAAACCACTGCCATTGAGTTGATTCCAATTCATAGTGACTGTGTAGAATGGAATAGATCTGTCCCAAAGAGTTTCCAAGGCTGTAAATCTTTATGGAAGCAGACTGCTGTATCTTTTTCCTGTGGAGTGGCTAGCCTTTTTGGTTAGCAGCTGAGCAGTTTACCCACTGCACCACCAGGGCTCTTACACTGAGATTAATCCTGTTACTTCTTACTTTGATTTCATGTAGGAAAGTCCCAGAATTGATCATATTGTCTCCTGTGACTCCCACTATCTTCTTGTGTTTTTCACTCCGTTTAAAAGCAAGAATGGGAAATCAGAAATTACCTAGGTAGAGTTATTTGAGAAACATGCTCAGCTTGCTTTCGTGGAGTCATATCATTATGGAGATTAAAAACAACATCACTTTATTTCAGATAGTGCTTTGTTTTGTTTTAAGGAAGTACCAGTTAAGGGTTAACATTAATATTATTTGCAGTGACATTAGGGATGAATGACTATCCTTTTTGTTTATCATTTTGTGAAGTCCTTTCTGTATAACAGGATTGCTGGTGATTATTAATGAGTTTACATTGATTCTGCCCTATTCTCATGTGGCTACTCTAGTTTAAGCGATCACTTTTATGAATTACTTGTGCTGGTTAGGATGTCATTCTGTTTATATGGATGAAACATACTATTTAAGACTGTATTAGTATTTCTCATTTGGGGGTGATATTGCCACCTAGGAGACACTTGGCTATGTCTGGAGATATTATTCATTGTCACAGTTTGGGAAAGGGGCCTTGCTACTGGCATCTAGTGCATCGATACCAGAAATGCTGTGAAACAGCCTACAATGCACAGGACAGCCACTGGCAACTAAGAATTACCTGGCCCAGTGATGAACTTGAGAAACCTCAGCCTGTATGAATAAAAAAATTTTTGAAAAGGTTTCATTGGCCCCAAATCTGTAATCTAACTGGAATTAGCCATCTGGAATTAGTTGGTCTTCTAGTTTTACAATCTTGATTATTAAAATAGTGATGTGTACACACCCTGATATGCCCTTTATTCATTTAATAATATCCTGTATTATTTCATGTGGTGACTCTTTCCTTACACTCAGTGAAGTTCTTGAATGGAGGTGATTACTTGGTGTGGGACTAGGAATGGTGTCAATTTCTATGACTCTTGATGTGATGACTAGGAGCAGTACTAACAGTTTGCTTTACTATAGCTTTTGATAATGATTGTTTAGGGAGTAAGGGAGATTTCAGTCATTAAAGTAGTGATTTTTCATGTATATAAGTAGTTTATACTTTTTTTGTGTGTGCATAGACATTGATGTTTTTGATTCGAGATTGGAGTTATCCTTACGAACATTCATATGGTTTGGAAGGTGGAAAACAATTCCTTGACAAGAGATTGCAGGTAAGCCTGCATTTCCTAAAGAGGAGAGCATAAGCCCCAAGCCAAGTGAAGGAGTGGGTTACCTGAGCTGCTGCTTATACTATTCATCTTTAGTTCCATTGGAGTAAATTATCCCAAATTACCACAAGTGGCTGTATACATAATTGGTGAAAAGTAAATTGTTGCTGCTTCTACCAAAGAGAATGACCTTTGAATCAAAATTAAGAAATGAATATTTCTCTCCAGAGCCAACTGCCCCTTAGTAAGTCAATATGAATAAATATTTAAAGGATAAACATTGAGAGAAAGTAGCTATTTGACCCACCCAGATTGCTTATAAGTTCTCCTTCTGGACTAACTGAACTTCTGAATATTTGGGACAGGCTGAAAAATGTGCATTCCCAGAGGAATGCTGTCTCTCCTAGAGAGAGAGCATATAGAGCTAGAAAGGGGAACTTAAATATCATCTAGTTCAGCGTTCTTTTTTGGTACATATGGCAACTAGATAGTGACCTGCTTATGGTACCAAACTAGTTATTGCTAATTGGCAGTAGGACTCAGATATCTAGACTTCGGGTCCACACGGTGTGCCGCACCAAGGCATTCCTGTGGAATACACAGGAAAGTCATGTGCCAGATACTTACAGACTACTCATCAACTCACATACACAAAGATACATAACATTCTCTTTATTCATAAGTAGATGGGTTCTCTCTTTTAATTAATAAGATACTTTGCCTATGGAATAACATAATAAATTATACATATTCAAAAACTTATAGTGTACAGTATAATTTTGTTATTCCTAGTATGAGATTAAAACCAATTCCTTTGTGCTTGGATTGTCTGAAAGGAATTTCTAGATTCTTCCTATTATTCAAGGTACCTTCATTCATCAGGGTTTTCTCTGGTGGGTACTGAAGAAACGGACACAAATCATATCAGGTATATTAGCCAAACTTGGCACTCAGAATTAGGTACTTTAAAGACAAGAAGGTCTTTAAATTTACTGAAGTGATACATGTGTATATAAAATTGCTCACTTCATAAGTATACAGCTTGATGGATTTATAAATGTACAAACTGAACATATCCTTGTAACCAGCATGCAGAGGCACCCTCCTTCATCTACTGCCTACCCTTTTTATGCCTGTACCAATATCATGATTTCTAATCAATTTTGGTATACCAAATAGCTTACTTAAGAAAAATATCTTTTCTGTTTGTCTTTTTTTTTAAAAAAATGGAGTCTTACTAGAGATCAGAAATTGGCCTTTAGTGGTATTTTATAGTGTGAGAAAACACCCCTCTGGAGTAGCATCTGAGTAAGTTTGCATGTGTCTGTGTGTGTGCATATGTGCACTTTTACGTTTTTCTTCTCATCTTTACTCTGTTCTCTCCTGTTCTCAGGTAAAACAAAATCAACATGAAGAGCTACAGAATGTAAGGAAGCACATTCACAATTGTTTCTCAAATCTTGGTTGCTTCCTTTTGCCACATCCTGGTCTTAAAGTTGCCACAAACCCTAGTTTTGATGGGAGATTAAAAGGTGGGAATTCCCATTCTTGCTAAAATCTGAACTTATATTTTAGAGGCTGAAAATTTTGATTGTTTAACGTTTCTGTTTTATGCTAGAGGATATTTTGAGATCTTGTTAATGAGGTGATTGTACTGCTCTGTGTATTGGTTTGTTTGCAGCTGCCTATCTTACTGGTTGGGAGCTCTGGTAGCATAGTACCTAAGGCACCTGACTGTTAACCAGAAGGCTGGCGGTTCAAACCCACCAGCCACTCCTCGGAAGGAAGATGGGGCAATCTACTTCTGTAGTGATACTGCCTCAGAAACCCAAGAAGGGGTCACTATGAGTCGGGTCCGACTCGAGGGCACATAACAACAACAACATCTTACTGGTTAACCTGGTTTATAATGTAGTCTGTTGCTCAGCACTGATATCCTGAAAGGCATTTTTAAGGGTGAGAACAGTTCTTTTCAATATTTGATCTGATTGCACTCTACTGAAAAACACTAGCAATTTAATATGTTAAAATACAATCAGATTTAAGTCTTTCTATTTCAGGGTGGATAGTATAATTTTTTGGTGTGTATTTTAGGATTATTTTGAACATGATGGCAAAAGGCTTTGGAACTGATGAAACTTCAGTATGGATGGAAAACAAAATCTAGTGTTCAAATTTAATCTCATGAATCATTTGCCTCTTTTGAAAGGAATGTTTTAGTTATTAATGTAGAATTTGTTTTGATAGTCCTCAATTTGTTTTTTATATATATTTTTTGAGCTGGCAGAATTATTAGGGTACCAGATATGGGCTAATAGAGTTGTTGTTGTTGTTGTTATGTGCCGTCGAGTCGGACCCGACTCATAGCGACCCCTCCTTGGGTTTCCGAGGCAGTATCACTACGGAAGTAGGATTGCCCAACCTTCCTTCCAAGAGGAAATATGGCATGTTTGGATATATTGATTTTTTTGTTGTTGTTGTTAGTTTTTTAGTGGATCTACTTAAGTAATAATTACTGCACACAATTATTTCATGAAACAGAATTTTATGAATTCTTACCAATGGGGACTTCTTTACTTTTTTGTCTAATATATTGGCTAATTTTGTGTCCACTAGATATTGATGAAGACTTTAAACGAGAGCTTCAAAATCTGGTTCCATTACTGCTTGCTCCTGAAAATTTGGTAGAAAAAGAGATAAGTGGATCTAAAGTCACTTGTAGAGATCTTGTAGAATACTTTAAGGTAGGCAAACTCTTAAATGACTTTGTCTAAGTTAGAAGTGTGGCTCACCTATGACTATTTCATCTGTATGTATAAGAAATTTCATCTTTATTTTAAAGCAAAATAATTTATAATTTATTTTTTCTATCTTGAATTAAGTGTACCAATGTGTAAAGATATTTAAAGTATTGTAGCAGATTATTTGCATCTTCTAGGCAATAATTTTTTTTGTTTGCATAATTTTTTCACTTTTTCTCCAGTTTTGGCATGGCGAGAAGAGCTTTTTATCATAGCACCACTCTAGCATTTGTGACAGGGGAAACGGGAACATAATTCAGTACTTGTTAATAAGTTAATACTGTTTTTTTTTTTTTTTTTTGGTGGAACCTCTACTCTTTTCTAGTCTTTATAGCTTTGGACTACTCTTGCTTGCCAGACCATGACCATTGTAGAGGGCTGTATTTATTCACAGTAGTTATAGATAAATGGAAGGGAAATACAGAGCTCTGGTAGCATAGTGCCTAAGGCATTTGACTGCTAACCAGCAGGCTTGTGGTTCAAACCCACCAGCCACTCCTTGGAAGGAAGGTTGGGCAATCTACTTCCATAGTGATACTGCCTTGGAAACCCAAGGAGGGGTTGCTATGAGTCCAGTCTGACTCGACAGCACATAACAACAAAAAAATAGAGTTAATGGACACTTGGTGATCACTCTCATCCAGTCTTTCTTAAGCTATGAATTCATTTTGAGTCAGTAACAAAGTTGACATGAAGATTGCTGTATGGGCTTGCTATAAACTCCATCTGCTCCTTTTTAAAAAAAAAAAAAA